TATATATATAAAAAAAAAATGTTTACATTATATTTTTTTTCTACTCACTATAATACTTTACTGTTTGATGCATTTGCTATTTTCTATTTAAATCAAATTTAATTATTTATTTTGATAATTTTATTAATTTAGTTTAATCTTATTTTATTTTATTTTTTTACATGCTTTTTGACTAAAATTTTCCATGGACCCCCCTAAAACTCCCTTGCGGCACCCCCAAGACCCCAGTTTGAAAACCCAAACTGTTTTAGTGCAAGATACCTTGAATAACATTTGTGGACTTTAGGAAACAAGTAAAAGAAAAGAAAGTGCAGAATGTGCTCTTTAAATCAGAAAGGTCAAAGATCTATTGATTAAAGATAGTGAGCAGAGGTGGGAATTCAATACCTCTTGCTCCACTGCGGCAAAGGCTCTGCTTTTCTCTTCCAGCAAGCTCTGCTTCTCCTTGTCCGCTTCCAGAAGTTTCTGCTCCAGCTGTTTACACTGTTCCTGAGCTGCCTCCACTTGGGATTGCACAGACGATCGCACATGCTCAGTTACCTAAAAGTGGAAAGAGGAATTTTTTTTATAAAATAAATTAAATTAAATATAAAAATTAACCTAATTAATTTTCTTAAAATGTCCATTATTCATGTTGTCTTAATTTTTATGGAAGGTAAAGGGTGTTAGAGTGGTGCACAGTATGATGATTTTTTTCGTAACACCAACCTGTTTCTCTTTATCCAAGGACTCCTCTAAGTTAAGACTCATGGCCTTGTACTGTTCCATGTTGGCAGTAGTGTTCTTCAGTCGTTCGGCCAGCTCTTCTCCCTTGCTCTCAGCCTGCCTCAGCTGGGCACGCAGAGCCTCCATGTCACCTTCACTGCTCTGCAGGCCTGGAGAGGAAAAACAGCAACAACATTTCCAAGTCTTTTCCGTCGACAATGCTCTGTACAAGTTTGGTTGCTCAACCTCATAAGCTATAAAGACTAGGGGTGTGATGATAAATCGATTCATGGATCGATACTGCGATTTTCCATATGCATCAGGATTCTCTCAGGAATCGATTCTGAACTTAGTTTTTAACAGTAGATGGCGCTCTAGGCAACTTAAAATGCCGCACACTTAAATGCTCACGAAGAAGAGCGCTTGTGCATTCGGATGAGTAATGTAAGTGGTTAAATGTACTTCCACCACAACTTTTATGACAACAGATAAATGTTACGTCAGAATGCTGTTCATAGACTTCAGTTCAGCATTCAACACACACAGTCCATTGTGAACACTTGTAATTCGCTTCAACCTTTTCGAACTTAATTTCAGGTTCAAGTGGTGTGTGTGTGTGTAAGGAACCGGAAGCAAGCAATGTACAGCTGTTTCTAAAGCACACAGTGCCATCTGTGTGCTTTAAAACTAAGCTCAGAATGGATTCCAGAGAGAATCGTGAAGCATTCGGAAAATCTCAGAATTGATCCACAAATCGATTTATCGTAATAAAGACCAAATAACTTAAGGAATGTTAGGTAAACGAAGTATAACTAAAATGTTAGAAATGTTCTGATACAATTAGGGCTGCACGATAAATCGAAATGGAATCGAGATCGCGATTCGACAGAAGCTGCGATTGTCATGCGTATCGATACAATATGGGCTTAGTCATGAGCACAGCTTCTCACCTTTATGTACCATAGGGGACACCAGCCGGCTCTCCCTGCTACTCATCTGCAGCTTTAGGTTGTTAAGCTCGAGTTGGGCAGCACTAAGCTGTTCTCTTGTCCTGTGGTACTGTGAAGTCTGTGTTTCCAGCTGCTTCTTAACATCCATCAGCTGCATCTATGTTGCAAAGGAACATCAAAGAGAAGCG